GTTAGTTCACCCAAAAATGAAAATTCTGTCATTAATTACTGTTCGGAACACAATTTAAGATATTTTTGATGGAATCTGAGGGCTCTCTGACCCTCCCATAGACAGCAAGGTAAATACCTTGCGTTCAAGGTCCAGAAAAGTACCAAGATGATCGACAAAGTAGTCCGTGTGACATCAGTGGTTCAACTGTAAAGTTACGAAGCTACGAGAATACTTTTTTGCGCAAAGAAAACAAAAATAACGACTTTATTCCACATTTTCGTCTCTACTGTGTCACTTGTGGACGCGCGTTCACGACAGTATCATGACAGATTTAATCAAAAATATCTTAAATTGTGTTCCGAAGATGAACGAAGGTCTTATGGGTTTGGAACAACACGAGGATGAGTAATTAATGACAGAATTTTCATTTTTGGGTGAACTAACCCTTTAAGGTAAAGATGTAGTTGAGAAAAAATATTTATGAATTAAAAATAAGTTTTTAGCAACATTTCTCTTGCTTTAGCCACTGCCTTGGATTGGTTTGCTGCAACAATCTTGTTACAATGCATCATGGGTTTGCATTCTCCACCAAAAATACACAAGATGCTACAATTTGGCAAAACAATGTATTTTTGGAATCAGCGTACTTATATTGAAATAGTATCAACATTTACGTTTTCATTTACGTTTCCGTTGAGAGTACGCAGTGCACAACTTGGCAGTCGCTTCTCTTCGCCTTTGCTGTCTGTTTTTGTCGTGAAATCGCTTGGTTCGTCTACTTTTTCGTTTTGCCTGGTATTGTCTATCGTTTGTCTTGGGTTTGGCTAACGTGGTGCTACGCAGTCACACTTCACGGCGCTTCACAAGCCCTTGGTGCGGATCTAACTCTGTGGGTTCGTTCTGGGCACTGCTGGTGAGTGGGTTTCCACCTTCTCGCCGTGCTGTGCCCTGTGTACCACTGTCTGGCCTGGCTAACGTGGACCAGTGTTGTGTGTCCTGTGTATCGTTGTGGTGAGTGTTGTGCTTCGAGTCATGTATGGAATATTTTTCTCAAATAAATCTTGTTGGCCGTGAGACTGATGGCCTCTTGTGTTTTTTTGCTATCCTTGCCGTTTTCCATTCAAATGGAGTTTTGTTACACATTTTGACATGTTTTTCTCGGCTGGATCCCGCCACATATGGACTGTGTAAAACTATTGGAATTGCTTGTCGGCCCCGCTATATTCATCGCTCACCAAAACGACACCTGAACATTAACTGCTCTTCGCCTGCTTCTATCCCCTCTATCTGGTCTCATAGATCAAGCACATGGAAGTCGTCCTCTACGTACATACATCGCGGAGTTTGTTTATCGTCGCTAAGGCCACTAGAAAAGACCAAAGATGACTCTGTGCTTAACAAGAATGTGCAGCGATGTGGTAATTTTGCCCTACTCAACACTCGGTCTTTAACTGGGAAAGGAACGTTTCTTCGGGACTTTGGGATCTCTGACAATAACTGTGATATGCTGATGCTCACAGAAACCTGGCAAGCATCTAATGACTTTGTTGAACTTATTCTGCTTTCTCCTCCTGGTTTGAGTACTCTGACTAAGTCCCAAATTGGAGGCAGGGGTGGGGGCCTGGCGGTGGTCTTTCATCAGAGTCTTCATATTGAGCTGTCTCCTTTCCAATGGGGTGACATCATTTGAATATTTGGCATTTAAAATCACTAGCCACTCTTCACTGCTCATAATACTGGTGTATCGTCCTCCTAAAACAAACATGCAATTTCTGTCAGACTTGTGTGAATTGTTGACAATTGCTTCTGCCCAATCTACAGCTATGCTATTGCTAGGGGATTTCAATATTCATGTTGATACTGATACTGTTCATGCTCTTGAGTTCATGTCTGTCCTTGATTGTTTTAATCTGCAGCAACATATTGATTTTCCAACTCATGTACATGGCCATACACTGGATTTAGTTTGCTCTACTGGCATCGACATTAATGCCTTAAAAGGCTCTGACATAGGTATCTCTGATCATAAACTGATTGAATTTTCTTGCAATTTTTACATTCCAAAACCTGTTGTTAAATCCTTGATTGAGTATCGTGCATGGAAGTTGGTTGATCCTCCGTCATTTTCTGCTGCACTCAGTGATTCCCCCCTCCCTTCCTTGCGCACTTCTCCTTGGTTTAACACTGAGCTTAGGGCAATGAAAACCAAGGGCCGCCGGCTGGAAAGGCTTTATAAGAAAACTGGCCTTATTGTTCACTCCTTGGTATATACTGAACACATTAAGCAGTACAGGAATGCTCTTAATGCTGCACAGTCTCTAGAGGGCTCTGATCAAATGTGTGATGCTTTCCTGAACTTTTTTCAGAGTAAAACATCTCATACCTGTCAACACTCTACCTCTGTTCCCACTACTGAACTTCTCTCATTATGTCAATGTCATCTGGAACTGTACCATCAAAGCTTAAGATCGCTGCTGTCACTCCAGTTCTTAAAAAGTATGGTCTCGAACTTTCTTCCCTAAGTAGCTATAGGCCTATTTCGAACTTATCTTTTCTCTCTAAAATATTAGAAAAAGTTGTTGCCTCCCAGTTACAGGCCTTCTTAACAGCAAACAACCTCTACGAGCCATTCCAGTCTGGCTTTAGTCCATTACACAGTACTGAAACAGCCCTGGTTAAGGTTCTTAACAATTTTCTCTTCTGATTCTGGTGCTCTCAGCACTCTCCTTCTCTTAGACCTCAGCTTAGCTTTTGACACTGTTTGTCATGAGATACTCCTCTCACGGCTTTCAGCAATTGGAATTACTGGCACAGCCCTTGAATGGTTTTCCTCCTATTTGACCGGGAGGCAACTTTAACTCTGATAAAACTGAGGTAATTCTGATTGGCTCTAAAACTGTAGTATCTAAGCTCTCTTGTCAACTGATGGATCTGGATGGTGATCTGATTATGCCCTCCACTAAAGTACGCAATCTTGGTGTTCTCATTGATTCCACTCTTTCATTCAGTGATCACATTGGTAAAGTAGTAAAGACAGCTTTTTTTGCACCTACGTAAAATCTCTCGTATTCGATCCTCTCTCAGTCAGCAGGATGCTGAAACTGTTACACATGCCTTCGTCACATCTCAACTAGATTACTGTAATTCACTTCTTTATGGCCTGTCAGCTAATAATATTAAACGACAACAATATGTTCAAAACTCTGCAGCGAGCTTGATTACCCACACAAGAAAGAGCCTTCGCCTTCGTTGGCTTCCGGTTTCCTTGCGCATAAACTACAAGATACTAATTCTCACTTATAAAGCTCTCCATAACCTTGATCCTACATATTTATCTGACTTAATCCTGCCTTATGTTCCTGCCCGCTTCTTACGATCTTCTAGTCAGGGATTGTTAGTCACCCCTAAGTTTCGTCTGGTGAGCTAGGAGCTAGGGCTTTCAGTGTTGTGGCTCCCAGATTGTGGAATGCTCTTCCCAAAAAACAACCGTCAAGCATTCTCCCTTCTCTCCTTCAAAAACCTCTTAAAAACACTTTTTTTCTCTGAGTATTACTCTTCAGTTCTCAGTCTGTAATTTGTACCCTGTTATGCATGTTTATCTACATTCTCTCTGTATCATTAATCTAACTTTGTAAGTGGTCTTTAAACCTGACTTGTAAAGTGACCTTGGGTTTTGGAAAGGTGCTATATAAATAAAAAATATTATTATTAGTAGTAGTATATATTACATAACAATAAATATGTTCTCATTTTTGTTCACCCCTTTTTCGTTTAGTGGACTATGACATTGAGTGTATGCGGAATAGTCAGTGAGGGAATGGCGGTGATTTCAAACACTGCTCATGTCAGAGCTCTCAAATGGACTCATTTGTTTAGCATTAAAGAAATAAATACTGATTCTTACACACTGCCTGCACTTAATAGCATGACAATAAAGCTGCACTGCATCTATAAAAATGAACAACATTAAACGGATAATGCTTTTACCGGTCACGGGCATCTGCTGAGGGACACAAACATTTCTGTAGGTATATGAAGGAATACCAGCAATCTTCCCTTCAAACTTCAGCTCAACACACTGTCCAGCTGTGCTTTGGTTCAGGTGGATTTCTGCAGTGCACAGCTCCTCCTCAAAACAAGAGTATAAAACCTTTTGCTGTGGAAGGAGAAAAGAACAGAGTGATTTTAACAATTCAACATCCTAACATGACTAACATTTAAAGAAGGACATGGGGGAGTCTGTGCGACTGCTTTTCCAACCTCATCATGTGTGACTGTGTACATAAACTCTTCATTCAGAATGTTTAGCTCATGAAGAAAGAAAGGGTGCTGAAAGGACGCTTTAATCACGTCTTTGTGGACAGACGTATTTACAGCTGGAAAGTCCAAAGAGCCTGGAAAAAGCAAAAGCCAATATTGTTTAAAGAAATTCAAAATAACAAGAAAAAAGGAAATAATTAAGTAATCTTGTAAAAGACTAAAGCAAATGAATCCCAACACTAAAACGATATCCAAATAGATTTGCATTTCCGGAAGGAAACAGCAGCAGTGCTTGCAAGGCAGCAGAATGAGAGTTAAAGCTTTAAGGAAGTTCATTTTCTTTTAGGCTCTGGTTATTGGTAAATGAAATGCTGCCGTATAAGAACGAACATGTGATGCAGTGCTTTTCTCAGTACAAGGGAGCTGTATTGTTAAACAGATGCAGTAGAGAAAGGACAAATTAAGCAAATATTAATGACATCAACACTGTCTGCTGAACACTGTTTTAACACAACTCAATGCAAGATTTATCAAATACACCAATGGTTTGGGCTGAAAAAACTGCAGATGTTTTATTCTTAGAAAACGAGCCTTAAAATGCCTGAGAAACATCAATAGTGTTTCATCATCAACAGGGCCTTGCAAACACTGTAATAAACAGTAATACTGTTTCCATATGATTAGTTTGTACACAGATATCTTACATTTATGTTTTTTCTCATCAAAAAAGTCTTTGCTGTAGGTGAATCTAATGGAGACGCTTTCTGACTTCTCTTGCCCATCATGTGCCGTCACGTACACCAAGTAATCATCACTAACATCTCTGCTGTAGCTGCTGATATCAAGGTGCGTCTGAGTCGTGTCTGGGACTGTTTGGGGATCACTAGAGATAAATGGGACAGAAAGATTAAGGAATGTGATTGTGATTAAGTAATGTCACATTTTCTGAAATTGTATTTTTTTTCTTGATCAGCTGCTTTTGACACACACATACCTTACATAAGCTTCAACCCTTACACTGAATTTCAGCTGTTCGGATGGGTTACTGTAGTTCCAGTAGAGGACATTCACAAAGTTGTGACAAACAACACTGACGTTTGTTGGAGAAGGAACTGTAGGAAAAAAAGTTAGTCTATTACACAAATCTATTAGTCTATTATACAAACTCAAAGCTCACAAGAACAACAAATCCTTCCAATATTTCTCAACGGCTGCTGAAATGCCGAGGCATTTCTAAAACAGACGTCATCTTCTTCAGAGAATCTTTTTTAGATTTTGAGTTTTGCTCAAACACAATCACTGAATTGTAGACATACATGACTGAATACAAATTTCAATGTTTAAAATGAGTGTTGAAAACAAATGTAAATAAAAAAAACAACATTCTAAATAAAAAAAATTGATGAGTCACCTCAAATAGTGAATGCAAATGCAGCGTACAAGTGTCAAGCATACAAGGAAACTACTTCAATAACCCCTAAAACCAGCCTGGACAGAGCGAGAGACCAGCTAAGATCAGTAAACCAGCTTAGACTGGAATAAGAAGTTTTTATATTTCAACGGGGTAAATACAGTAATTCCCATACTTTCGTTTGTGTTAATAGGTTGTTTGATTGGTAATGTATAATCTGAGGCTATTCTATTTGTGAGTCATAGTATTAAAATATATATAGGCCTTAAGATAAATACATGTGTTTTCTGAATGATCAACCATCATAACAGTCTGATATTTCAGGTCATTCTGAACAGAGGAAGTGGCTGATAGCATGTGCCATCACAGGAAATGCAGGTCTTACTCAATATGAAGACTTAAAAAAAACATTCAGTCTCGTGGTGGATTGGTGTCTAAGTTTGTGTGAGTGTGTGTGTGTGTGTTTGTCTGTGTATACACACACACACACACACACACACGAAAAACAAACCTTAAGCCATTGGATCTATCAGAGCATATACAAATGATTTTACAGCTTTAATAACATTTAATTATTAAATGTAATAATTTTAGTCATTGATGTTAGATTGTAAAATGTTATACCACACAAGCACAAAAACAGTGATAAGTAAAGCTTATAATGCAGTTTCTGCATAGTATCTTTCAAGAAAATCCTCAAATTAGCAACGAAAACCTAATAATAATAATAGTTAAAAAATAAAAACCTTGCAAATATGTTTGAGAACACTCCTTTGTAGAGAAGTGATTTTTTGTACATAAGAGGAAATGTAGGGCTGATATACAGTGCTGACAGTTCAGTTTAGATGTGTTTAAAAGGGAATACACACACACACAGTACATAGCATACATGATGTTGTGTGGAAAAACTGAGTGAAAAAAATAAATAAAATTATATAT